TATATAATATGTAAATAATTTAGGCTAATTATTCAGTTTAGCTACTTCATTTTAAAAATCAATAAAATTAGGCTTATTCAACGCGTTTTTGCATGAATAAAAGAATCTGGCAAAAAAAAGCGTCACTCTGCCCTGCGAACCGAGGATGCTTTCCAACACTGACGCAGACAGTGTAACAAAGGGAATCATTACATCCTTGTTATTTGCCTACGTGAAACAAGGATGAAACGATTCCCTGCGTTACACAGTGTCTGATTATGTCCTTTTGCTGGAAAACACCCCGAGATATCGAGCGTTAAAGTTGACAACTATTGGGAAACCGCTCCAAACCAATAAGCTCTAGTCTACACATCCCAGTCTCCAGTGTCCCAGATTCCACTGGATTTCACAGTGGCCCGCCACCAGAGGTTCAAAGAAAGAGACTCGCGCCAATTCTTGCATGTACTCAAGACATGTGAGATCTATTCATATAGCACCTCGCTCTAAGTAATCTGTGTAAAGTAAATCACAGTTAAATAAGCATGAAAGAAGTCACATAATTGAACGTGGGTGCCTTACCTCCAGGCGTCTAAGGTAAGCTCCCACTACAATGCCTTACTGATGAGTCTAGTAGTGGGGGCCGAGACGGAAACGCAGCAGTGAATGACAACATTTTCGCATAGATTACCACACGGAGCCAAAATAACAGCCGTGTGTGTGTTGTTCACTTAAAAACCCACGTTCAATTATGTGATTTTTTTCATGCTTATAAACTGCGATTTACTTTTGAATATTTGAATATTTTCTTAGAATTAAGTACAAATGTCAATATAACTAACATAATATATTATCACGAAAGTAACTGATATTAAAACGCCACCCCCACCCAACTACCCATCTTTTTCGCTGTATTTCACTCTCTTTCGTTATATAATATTTTAAAATCATTTTTTAAATCATTTGTTATATATATATGTAGATATATATGATGCAGTGGATTTTTCCCATAAAATATATTTTATATGTCTTACCGTGTACTGTTGGTGTTCGTCTTTTATGTCGTTATTCGTTATTATACATGTTGATTCATCTTTTCAGGTTCACCTCTCAGACTCACTTGGGATATATTTCAATTCACTTTATACTGTAACGTTCCGTATACTATCGTAGTTTACACGTTCTGGATATATATGTAGACACTTTTACTTTCTTATTTTTCCTAAAATCATAAAAGGGAATAATAATTTAATAATATAGTCACAAATTTTGATAAACTGACAGTCATTACTAAAAGCTAGTTATAAGGAAGTAATTAACTATAGTGTTGCGCTTAGATAATTCAAAATTATCTAGATATAGATAAGATAAATGACACAAAAATGTATTTTAGATAAGATGAAGATAATTCATTTTATATTAATCTAAATAAAAGATGAAATTAAAAAAAATGTTTATCTAGATAATTTTTATATAATAAGTTGATTTTAATTGTTTTTAAGTAACTATATTTGGTAGTAAAACGATTTAGGATACAAAAAATATATTCACTATTTTTATAAATATTTCATAAATATTTTATAAATATTATATTTTATAAATCTTTACCTTTTTTAAATAAAAGTTTTTCGAATATATTATCTAATAAAAATCAGGGAATGGAAGTAACTCGTTACTTGTAACGAAGTTACAGTTACAAGTTACTTTTTTGGTAACTTTACTGGTAACTGCGTTACTTTCTTTTTTTGGTAACTGTAACTGTAACGAGTTACATTTTTTGGGTAACGGTAACGAAATTTACAGTTACTTTTGTCGTTACTTTGCACACGATTAAACACGGTTCGATTGGATACATGCTATCTATAGCGCTTATCAATAAGACTTGAAAGCCCTTAGACATTCGGCCGTTATGATTCAGTAATTATTTTACACTTCTATCTTCTATGTAATACATAGGACATACAAATATTTCAGTTTGCTGCATATTTTACAGGTTTTAGAATTACAAAATTGTGTTTAAAAAAAATTAAAAAATAAATTAAATAATAGTAAAATGAGAAGGGCTATGAACCCAAAAAGCGAAACAGTTTAAAAGACGATGACAATAAGTGTCGAAACGTCGTTTGTTTTTATCTTGTTTTATCTATGTATTGTTCTAATATATATTTATACATTTAATTACATTGTCATCGTCGTTCTTATCGGAAATAAACTGTTTCATTTTTGGCTCGTAACCCTTCTCATTTTACTTTTATTTAATTTATTATTTGAGCCATTCTACATTGTTTTTTTTTTTTTAAAAAAAACTATATATTTGTCAGTATTACATATAAAAAAAAAAACAAAAGTACATTTTTAAATTAATTTAAAAAAGTAACGGAAAAGTAACGAAAAGTTATTTTTCAAGTAACGGTAACTGTAACGAGTTACTTTTAAAAAGCGATAACTGTAACTGTAACTAGTTACATTTTTTACTCGGTAACGAGTAACTGTAACTAGTTACTTTTAAAAAGTAACTTTCCATTCCCTGATAAAAATAAACGATCGATTGATTGTCTGTCTTTGTTTGTCTAACGGATCGATAATCATGGTCATCATGGATATAGAGAAAATTCGAACCAAAAATCGTGAACATTACCGACACGATCGTGGACATAGGCCGGTATTCATAGTCAGTTCTTATTTGAAGACTGTCTTAAGTATGTCTTAAGACGCGAATGCAGCCATTTGATTGGTTCGTGACATCTTAAGACTGAACTTAAGACGGTCTTGAATATAAGAACTGACTATGAATACCGACCATAGAGGCGCTTCAAAATAAAGTAACAGCTATTCCGAGCATGGCCGCTCTCAGGCTTCTCTCTGTCTCTACCCTCTTCTTTTTCATTATATTATTATAAATAATAAAAGATTAATATTTTTACTTACGCGTTAAATTTGATGTACAAATATTTTAATAAATTAATTAAAATTATCTTCGAAACGAATTTTCAATTTCGATTTTGAGATCACTCTAAAGATTGTCAAATATTTATCGTCACGTTAGCAAACCGACGAAACCGCATTCGCCGGTTGCCCATCTAGTCTAGATTCATTTCATGCTCCGTGAAAGCGAGCCGTTTCGTTCGTTCATCCATCATGGCCGTCATGGCGGAGAATGTTTTCATTCCGTGATACGCCGACTCGTGATCGTATCGGTTCATCGATTCGGCATTCGGCCGGTCGTCGACGCGACGACAACGACGACGACGTTGGCTTACGCTCGATTCGGTGAAGGTCCAGCGATCATCACGCGATCATGGATACGCGTGGCATTGAAGTCACAAATCAGCTCCGGGTGAGTGTTGCGGAATGCATGTTTTAAGTGCATGCAAAGGTTCTATTAGCATAAGATCGTCCAGTCATCTGATTGCATGAAAACCCAGACGTGTGACATTTGATCCCGTACGTCGATACCTGATTGTTATGTAATTGTCAAGTTCCTCGCAGAGGACGTGAAGGATTCAAAGCAACGTCTTCCGTGAAATTCGTCGCTTTAGAAATCCAGGCACACAACAAAGTTTACTTTATTTTATACTATTAATTTCTGTCTCTCTATACATGCAGAAGTCTAAAATATAGACATGACTGGAAGCTACTTCTGCCTTCTTTCCGAAAAAAAACTATAAAGATAGCTTTGAGAAATTACTGTAATGCTGCTAAGGATGTACGTGATGAGAGTTATTTATATTTACAAATTATATACTTCTATCTTCTTTCTAGGAAAAGGTAGAAAAGCATCTTTAAGAAGTCATTATGATAGACATTTGACAAATGGAATTATTTGTAAGTTACTTCGGTTTTCTTTTTGAAAAAAGATATAAGAAAGCCTTTGAAAGATCAATGTAATACTTTTAAAATATATTTGATGAATGAAATATTGTTTACAAGTTACTTCTGTCTTCTTGAAAAAAAAAAAAAAATACAAGAATATCAGAGATAAGCAATTGTGTTTCTCAAAAAGTATATTGTACTTGATGAAATTATTTACATGAAATTATATATATCTAATTGCAGAGTGTATTAAAAATCACAGGCTGTATAAACCAATTACATTATGAAACACTTTGCAAGGAATATTTTCAGAGAAATAGTAGATTGGATGATGCAAGCTTGTCAAATGACTGTCAAAGTATAGACCTCTGAATTATTTCTTAAGGCAATTAAATCATTGGCTTATATAAATTAAATAAAAACAATTGGTTGTTTACTAAATCCTACTGTAAAGCCTATGGCACACGGTGCTTGTTTTCCTGCTGGATTGCTAGCTGGATTAGAATATTGCCACCGTATTGGCTGCGGTGCTGAAAGTGCCAGTATCGCGGCCAATCCGATGGCAAGAATCTGATCTAGCTAGCAATCCAGCAGGAAAACAAGCACCGTGTGCCGCTGACTTAACTTCTATAACTCATCACATGATTGACTGAGTTCTGTTGCCTATTTTACTCAGCATTTTTCAACATTCCTAAGTCAGTTATAATATTTTGGTTGAATCGGATTCTTTTTTGAGGATCGGATGCAATATGGTTGAGAAGAAGAAAATTTTTTAAATAATTAAAGGGAATCTTTAGAATTTATACACAAATGTCTATTCATATTGCTTGGACTTTTTGCACTCACCATCTTTGCTTTCTATCTCTTCAATGTCTGTGTATATGTACCATATATATATCTTATTGTAAGTGCAAATTTTTTTGAAATTACGAAATTTAATTTTTTGGGAATATATATATTGTAATAGATAGAAAAGAATTCGTATAATCATTGCCGAATCCAAAATTCTGATTTTTCAGATACTGGGAACGCAACAGACCTAAAAATAATTTTATACTTAATAAAAACGTTAATTAGGAAGTTATTTTAGTAGCTCTAAAACTTACTGTATCATATTTCGAGACAAAAAATTTAATAAATTATAATAAATTTTACTCAAGGAAAAGCTATAGATTTTAAAACTAGATTTTAAAATTAGATTTCCTGCTCTGTCCTCTAAATCTCTATTACAGAAATGTTTAAAAGTCATGTAAGTAAGGAAATATTAAAAAAGCAATTGAAACATATAATGTAATAGATTGTTCATAAGGTCTGATTTTTGTACTCTTTAATTATAATAGGTAGAATCTAGAAAATAAATATATTTTGCAGTTTTCTCTAAGCGAGTTTTGTCTTAATTGTTTTTTTATTTGTCTTAATTTTCAGAGCGCCATTCGCGCCAAGCTTATGGAATTGGGAGTCCACTACGACGAGGAACTACCTGATTATATATTAGTAATGGTGGTGAACAAGAAATCTCGTCAGCAGATGCATCATGACTTAAATCTGTTCCTAGAGGACTGCACGACTATATTCGTGGATTGGCTGCACGATCAGGTGCTAAAGAAACTGCAGAAAGTCACTGTAGCCAAGAAAAAATCATCTCGCGAGTTTGTACCTACCGTTGTAGTAAAGCAAGAGGAAGAGAGAAAGAAAAAAAAGATATTAGCAACTTCGTTCCTAGAAGATCAGGCAGTGGAGCAGTCTTCGGCTGTCGAGAAATTCCCGGATAAAAGTACGAAGAGCGACAAACAACCATCGGCGCAGAAGCAACAGACAATAAAATCTTCCATACCTAATCAAAACTCAGAACGAAGTCACAGCAAGAGCGTGGAAAGAAATGTGAAAAGTGTGCACAGCAAAAGTAGAACAGACGAAGTATCGTCGATACCCGGCAGCGGATCTTATCAAGACTCTGCCTCTTTGACGAGGCCGCAGCAAAGTTCTGGACGCGATGAAAACACAAAGGAAGGCACGCCGGAGAATCCCGCTACAAAGATCACAGATTCATATAGCGATCTGAAAGAGAGCGAGGCGCCGAATAAAAATCTAAAAAGATCATTGGAGTCGTCGAGTAATCGTCACGACAGCACGGAGAAAAGGAGTAACGAGGCGAAGAAGCCGAAGCTATCCGAGGAAGAAAAGGAAGATACTTCCCCGGATACAGCTTCAAAGAAGCTCAAATCCTACGTGAACAAGCCAAAGATTGTGTCTGTCGTATCTGTGAAGAATCGGCTTGGTATGGTCTCACCACGGAAGAAATTCGAGATCTACAGAGAGAGGGAGGGCAACGGTCGCCACTATCTGTTGGAGAAGCGGTTCGAGAACCAGCATCGCTACGACATTGGACGTAGCGGAAAGGGCAGAACCTTTGAGATGGACGATCGAGGTTCCAGACGGATTCGCGACGGCGACTCATCGCGATATCACGAGACTATGAGCAAAGTCAACGACGTAAGGAGTCGAATAGAGAGCAGCAAGAGTGAGAGATTGAGCAGAAACGCGGAGTCCAGGGAGAGGAATTTGAATTCAAGTTCCACAACGGACGCATCCGCAAAAAAGTCTGTGTGCACTATTAAGGATCGTCTGGGTATCAATAGTAAAGTCCAACAGAGACAGTCCACAAAATTACAAGAAGCAGCAGATTATAGAAATAACCCAAAGAGCTTGGATCAAGCGGGAAATAACAACAAAAACATCAAGGATAGGCTCGGTCCGTTAAAAAGTAGTTTCAGGCCTGTCCATAAACAAGGACAGCTTCGCAGCAGCGAAAACAATAGATCTCTAGTTTCTCTGAATTCCGCTGGCGAGAGACACGAGGGTGAGAAGGGGAAAGAAACCGAAGATGAAGACGAAGTGGATAATGATGAACAGCTGATCGGACCTATGAAGTCGCACATAGTCGCTGTAAACAGACATGCATCCGCCACTGTTACGAAAACCGATAGGAGACGTATGAAAATATCGAATGATTTGTTCAGTGCGACTCAAAGTATCAGCAAAACCTTGGGACACAGTGGCGTGAAATCTCAGGATAAGATGAACAAAAGGACATTCAGTGATGTGGACGAGGATACCGATGATATGAGATTACCGAGCAAAGTAATTGTCACGCCAAGACCTTTGAAGCCGCTGCAACCGACTCAGAAACGTGCCACACAGTCGCTTTTGTTACGAGCTGTCGCGGAGGCAAATCAGTCTGTTGTTACACAGAAGAATCCGGAACCGTCTCTATTTGTAAGTTTCAATTCAATTAATATGTAATATATAACATGTAACACCAAGGACGATATTCTTTAATGTCTGCATATTTCTAAAAAAAAATGTGTTAAACGTCAAAGAGCAAAGAACGTTTTTTTCATCGAAGGCTCAATTTTGTTAGGACAAGAAGCCAATCTTAAAGCGTCTTAAACCTGCCCCGGCTCGTGATGTAAGTCAAAACTTGTCGGTACATTTTAATTCTAGTAAGAGACTGGTCATGGAAAAAATTCAAGTCGAATTAAATACGATAGATCATCTGGATACGGAAGACGTCGAGCCTGAGCCTTGTAAGTGCTATTTTCGTGGAGACGTCTTTTTATAACAGAGTTATACAGAATCTATCTCATACTTTTATTCTTTCGTTTTGGAAACTTTATTTATTGAGCTTCTACTATTATTAATTAGGTACTTGAACAAGTTAAAATTAATTCTATCCTTAAATTGTATCCAATTGGTCTCTGATAAAACGAAGAATATATGAGATAACGCCAGAAATCAAATTCACAACGAGCTTTCTTATACGTCACCAAATGTCATTCCTTTTCGATTTTCCATTAATAACAATTATATTAACTTATACTAACAGCTTTTAAATATTTAGAAACTAAGAAGTATAGTAACCGATTTACTTAGCTTCTAATAAATATTTTATAAAAACATAGTGAAAATATATTTAAAATAAATAAAGATTCCATTGCGAATTTTTTCATGATATAAAGACTAACTCTGTCATTTTTCTCCTGGAATTTTAATTCCTCGCTTATTATTGCATAATTTGTAGATGTACCTCAACCAGTAACGGACGAGCATATGGGAGTCATGATGTCGTTGTTCCAAAGGAGCAACGACAATCAAAAATTCTTGGTCACTTTGAACGGATACAACAACAATCTTCTGAAGGAGAAGATTAGTTCCGAGGATGACGAAGAACGACTGGTAATGGAGGTAATTTTTCCACCACCTCTAAATTTCCCTCATTCCCTTCCTCTGAATTTTAATCCTCACGCGTATTGTAGACGCACGATGTTCCTCCTCATGCTCGCAGGTGAACGAGGATGACGAGCTTTCACTGTTGACGCACAATGAAGCAACGACGATGACGGCGACAACGACAATGGCGGGAATGGCACAGAACGAGTTGGAAATAAATAAGTTTAGAATAACAGGCGCTACGGAAGATAACGTGCATGCTAGTCCGCAGGAAGCGAGCGGAGAAGAGAATAACGAGAACTGCAATACGGAGAACGTAGATAAGATTGACGAGATGCCGCGTAAACGGAGAAAATTAAGCCCTATAATATACAATAGATCTCATTCTCCTAGTCCTATACAACTGAAATCTAATGCGTCTCTAGCGTCGACGTTAGCCACCAAACGTAAGTATTCAATTTTTTTTGTTTGTTTAGAGTGTAAAAGTACCATATATCATTATAAAATGCATTGTTATTCTTTCCAGCCCCGGATAAAAAACCTCTGGTAGAGAATACGGCCTCTGTCATTTCAGATAAATCTAGAGAGAAATGTAGATACTGGCCAAATTGTACGTTAGGGAACAAATGCGCGTATCTTCATCCCCCTGTTATGTGCAGGTAAAGTATCTTTCTAGAGATTCATTACATATCTGTAATGAAAATTTTCCTCGGAATTTTTATATGAATTATGAGAAAATCTATTTTATAATCTTTTTTATATACATATAAGAGAGTGAATTTTGAAATATCTTAAAATTTCAAAGATTTCTCATTCTATAATTTCTGAAAAAAATCAGATTTCACAATAGATTTTATTTAGAAATGATAGAATAAAAAATCTGAAAAAAACTGAAATTATAAAATTATTTAGAAATTCTAAAAAAATATGAAAAATTCTGAGAAAAATTTTCATCAAGAATTACATCGCAAAATAAAAACAATATTTTTCTTTCTATGAATATATGTGATGCCAGAAAACATTTTTTTAATTTTAACTTGCCTTTTTTTCGCAGTGCCTTTCCGGCATGTAAGTTTGGTGACAAATGCGCCTACAAGCATCCCAAGTGCAAATTCGGTTTGTCTTGCACAAAGCTAGGTTGCGTGTTCTCGCATCCTGCCCAGCAATGCAAGTATCATCCATTCTGTACGAAACCGGCCTGTCCGTATTCCCATCCAGTCACTTCCACTCCGGCAGCAGAAGTAAGCCAGAGAGCAAAGTTTACTTGGCGGCGACGAGATTGAGCATGTTTTTGCGGATGTATAAACCAGAATATATCGTTTTGATCAAATTAAGATCTGATCCACGTAAAATTACTTTGTACAGGTCACACAATGAAGAAATATGCAAGCTTAAGTAGCATAAATTGATATAAAGATGTTACCAAGATAAAATTTAACTTCCCGATTAACGAATGCGTCACGAAAACTTCACTATAATCGTGATTTATTATGTCAGATCGTAGTTCGACTCTTTTTCTTAAATAATTCAAGATAGAAAGAAACTTTTGAAAAACTTTAATCAGTAAAAATTTTTTTATCATTTAATTAATCAGATTTAAAATAATTATTGAAGCTCTAATTTAATTTAGGGTGTTGCATCCGCCATTTATATATAATATATATTTTCCTCTGTTGATAATTATCTATCGCCTTATATATAAGATCGCGCTGTCAGTTCGAACTGTGAACGATTTTTGCTGCCATTCTTAGATTATATATTCTACTTGTAATATGAAGGAAAGGATTTTAGTTTAGTTAACCAAGGTTAATCGATGCAATTGACCTTGGAATGATCATAAAATACGTTCTTTTAGGCTTGACCTTGCCAAGGTAATCTCGTCTCAATTTATATACGTGTATATGTTCGAAAATATGTACCGCCAATCGTGCGTTTCTAGTATCGGTAATATATAAACATATATTTTTTTTAATATACATATATGTATATATATATATATATATTATATAAACATATATGTATACTTCTTATGTAACAGCCAGAGTAAGTAATGATAGATTTATTCTTTTTATCGATCTTGCGTGCTTTTGTTTGCAAATCGTCGTTTCTTTTTGTTTTTATCGAAGCCCATCAAAGTATAAGTATATATAGAGTGCACACTTTTAGTAAATTGGAAAAATGCAAGAGGTACAGTCAAGAGAAACAGATCTATCGTAATGTTTAACGTAGAGAATAATGGAACGAAATGTTGCAATTAGACTGTGTGTTCGTTTTAAGATTATGAGCGAGGTCTTTTTGCCGAGAATATTTACGTTTATAAAGTGCGAATTGAACATTTTCTCTGAGCGATTTAATCAGGTTTCGAGCGAGCACATGGCTGTTTTATAATGTGTACCGTGCACTCGGCGTTGTCTCCGCATTGAGGGGAGGCATCGTAAAAATCAAGTATTTCGTTGTTCGATTACCATTTATGTAATTTAACACAAATTGTATAGGATCTTGTAAGGAGCGGAGGTAATTCTGCATAATTTAATTAGTGCTAGTGAATAATTGCGCATAAGATGTACAATATTATTGAAACTTGTCATCAGAAACAAATATACGATGATTTCTGTAAAATACAGTTTCATTCTATTTCTATTTTCGATTTCGAGATATTCTCCTATTCCCTCCAGTCTTCTTAAAAGAAGGGATCACAGAATGTTTTTTTTTTTTTGTAATTAAGTCTAAATGATAGATAATAGATTTAAGCAGCGAGAGAGATTGCAATTAGTGTATAAAATAATCACGATCATTATTATAATTCATATACGTGTCATTAAAAAATTGTCATCACGATTAAAGGAAGGCAAGAATCGATCAAGATGTACTGCGATACGCAAGCTTAGTTGCGTGTGATTTATTGCGTTTTTTTTTTATTTATATTCGTTTAAATCTTATCTCCAGATGAAATTTTACGTCGGTATAATTAGCGTGTCAACGTATTCCTCGCTTCGTTCGAGGAAATAAGACGCAAGTTTAGATTCTGACGTGAAATATTACGATCATGTCTTAAGAAGATCGACAGATCAACACGGCTTCTCTCATACACACACTCGTATACGCTCGCACACAATTTCGCACTAATTTATATATACGTATAAATCTATGTGTATGCTCTATCGTATTGTGGGGCACTTAGAAAACTCGTTAATTCGTTCTCCTCATTCTTGCGTCGACTCTACACCGGAAATCCAGACGGGCCGTGTGCGTTTGTGAGATACTTAAAAGTAATATAATATATATATATTTTCTTTTTTTCCTTTGTTATTCAAGGATTGCTTTGTTTCGAAGGGAAAAAATAAAAAAATAGTGCGCACGCGAACGTATCTCTCACCCCCTTCTAACATTTTAATCTACTTTCGACAAGCGGATCCCGGGGTCCTCTTCAGCGGAGAGGAGTAAAGCTCGGTAGAGGAGATCTCTTGTAGAGAAAGAGAGAGAGAAAGAGAGAAAATACACGAATTAAATAGTGATTGGGAGGGATTTGTTTCTGCGAAATTGAACATCTCTGATCTTAAGCCCGTTTTTACCAACGTAGATTAACTTTAATTTCGATTCCAACTAAAGCCCGATTTACAATTGGATAAACGTAGTTGTAAGTGGTTGTAGTAGTAAGAATTGACCAATCACAGTCGAATATTCTCCTCGCAACAGTCAATTCTTACCATTACAACCATTTACAACTACGTTTATACAATTGTAGATCGGGCTTTATTCTTCATTCTTTTGTAATCCTTAGAACTAGAAAAGATAAATTGAGTACGTTGAGCCGAGATTAAAATTGAATTAATCTATGTTAGTGCAAACGTGTATTAGATATACATTTTGTAATCCTAGGTAAGATATTCTTCCTTCTAAATCTTCGAATAGGCAGGACATTTGGATTCCTTAAATCGCGACTCGAAGACGGAGAAAGAGAAAATATTTTGAAATGAAAAATGTTCAGAACTCATTCACCGATCCGTCTCTCGTCCCTCATTTTTTTTTTTTACAAATGCATCAACTGTTAATAAAGCTTTCGCGGATAACACCCTGTTTCCTGTTCTTCGATACCCTTGCATCGCCGCACGATGCGCTGTCTTCTAAAAGAAAAAAGGATAATAAAGAGATGAAAAAAAGAAGTAAAAAAGAATAATATGTTATATATATACGATACGTACATACATATACATACATATATAATATATATATGTATAAACGTGCAACATTTTTCTCGAGAAAATTTGGCAAGGATTAAAAATATCATAATTACATTTGTATACAAATGCCTATGTGTATCTGTGTGTGAATGAAAATATGTATTGTGTCTTTGCGTGAATAATCATATGTTATCGTTGGGGAATAACGACATCGAAATTCGCATCTCGCACATGCGACTTTTAAAACGCGCGCACACGCAAAACACTCTCGAATCGCGGAGCGTTACAATTTTTTTATATTAATTTCATTTCATATATATATAATATATAATAAAAATAAAAATAATATTACAATATATATATATATATATATAATTACAAATAATTAGTTTTATCCGTGATATTCTATTATAATATTTCACTAGATTTTTTTTCTTAATAATGTCCCGCGTAGGCTCTTTACCTCTCGACAGCGAGCCATAAAAGAAAGTGCGGATGTGCGGAGGGCGGTCATATAATGCTCGATCTATTTGATTCTTATCACAGGAGTCCGCCATTCCGACCGCCGTTCTCTCACATCACTTCGACACTCTATTATCTCCAAATTGATTATTCATACGCGAACGGTACGGCAAAGTGGCGGATAAACAAGCCGTTGAGTATAATGGTATAAGTCATATACTTTTGGGAAACAAAAAAGACTATCTAAAGAGACTTAAATATAAAATAATAACAATTTTTTAGTTAAATATAAAACAGTTAAATATAAAATATTGATAATACATAAAATCCATCTACACATTACGAAATCTTTTTCTACATACGTAAAGATTACAAATTTTATATCGAAATAAACTGTGCTATTTAATTGAAATCTGATGCATTTGTTGCAATTATTTCATTAAATTGGAACTAGTCTAACTAAAAATAAGAAATTAATCCGTTATATTACTGACTTGTACCATTATTTCGTTCGATGACTTATAATGTTCGACAAACGCGGAATCCACGTAATTGGAGAACCAACTGATTTTGTTCCCTTATAACTGTACTCTTCCTATAGTCTTTTCACAATTCTTCTCTTCCTTCTATTGCCGTATAAAGTCTGACTCATACACAATATGCTTCATTTTAAACGCCGAAAGCGTAAGCGTCAAGTTGCATTCTTAATTATCACACTCTCCTTATTCTTATCGTCACTATCCTTATTTACACCTTACGCCGTAACGAATGTTCTTCTTCCATGCTATTAATTCTACCGCAGATTAATATTACAGTGCTATGGCTCGGTTTCGCGATAACGTAACTCCCTCCGGTACTCACTCAGGCCATTATCACTCGTTAATTGCTATTTCCATTTGATTGTATCGCGTTACACGTTGCACCAAAGGGATCGTATTCGTTGTCAGCGAAACCAAACTCAGAACACTCTTCGTTAAATCTCGCATATAACATGAGCCAAGTTAAACCCTTGTCTGGAATTATGGACTCACCACTGATCCCGTACTTTGCAATCCCTTCGCGCATTTGACGATTATAAAAAAATAATAATATAACATCATTAGGATGATGCGTAAAATGCATTTAACGCTTAACGCGCAATTAATTACACGTTAAAACCTTCAATTTTAGTTAACATGACGTACGGGACTACGGTTTATCTGCAAATCCATCCGCGACAATGAAACGTCACGGGGACAAGGATCCTGATTGTTCGTGCCTTCTGCCACACACTCGGAATTTGCACACTCAAGATCCCGAGTCACTCATGATAAATATTTAATAAATATTCAGTCCCATTTCCATTCGTATACTCCGTTCGATCCATCTTACGTATTTCGGGTGTGTGTAATTAACATCTCCCTTCTTTCTCTCTCTCTCTTTTCGCACGATTGTTTCGAATTTGCACATAACAAAATCATCGCGATGTACAATCGACGTATGCATACAATGCAGCAATCACGCCATTGATCATCTGATCGATGATTCCATCTTTGGTCGCTTATCAAACGACGCATGGCAAAAAGATGGACGAACTAGGATAACTTTGCGGTATCGCATTTAATATTTGGATAAAAAGGACGAACAAATTTTTAGATATCTTCAGAGAATTGGCAGTAATATTTTATAAGAGAGTATTTAAAGTTCAGAAAAATTTCAATCCGATTGGAATGAGCTACATTTCCGTCGCGGTAGTATATTTGCTCGCGATAATTTATTTGTTCGAATCAGTTTTCAGCTGGCAGTAGAATAAGCTTGATCGCGTATTTCTAATTCAAAAAGATTCGGTCCAGACTGGAATAACCGCGTTATTATCCTATTACCGGTCATCACTTAGATAAAAATTCGAATCTCGACAATTGGCAGTAAGAGTCTGATATAACGTTAACGGTACATCTAAACTTCAGAAAGGTTCTTATAAATGATTCGTAACAGCATACTATACAACAGTATTACACTCATAATATCTATTCAACATAAAAATTCCTTTCCGACACTTCTCTTGGAAATAGAAATCTCGAAAGCAGTCTCGTGTTCGTATCGATTTAAAAGAATTCGTAGAATACGCTTATAGACTTCAAAAGGAAATTTTCCTACGAAATGACCACGCATGTCACGAGCAGTGAAAGAATACGACTACGTGATTTATTTCGAGAGAGCAAAAGGAGAAGAAAAGTGAAATCGCCCCCATATATTCATTGAAATTCAGCTCGGCGGTTGTAGAATTATTTTCTTTAACAGTTAATTCAAACGCCTTTTCTGTTTTTGGGACGAAAACTACTGTTGTAAGAGTTTCGTGAAATACGAAATTTCATCAAGTATCTACAGTCTTTCATTCAAATAGCAGCAGCGTGGATAACGAATCTCTCGTACGTATTTCTCCCGCTCTTGCTCATTTATGGCAAGATCGAGTAGCTATGGCCACGAATATCCATGTACTCGCTAGGTCGATCAACTAACACGACTTCAGTACTCGCTAAATCGATTTAATGCACGCAATCGATTTGGCGAGTGCTAAAATGGAGGGGTTCGAGAAATGGACCGCAAGACGCCGTTCACGAGAATATCCTCGCCAACTTCTCGGAGCGTTTTTGCGGAAATTCGCAAGATTCACGAAACGATTCGAGTCCATCGAATATCCTTCTTCCTTCATTCGTCGCTATCAGAGTCGCGACTCGCAATCGGGTAATATTTACACAGCGTTATGTTCGCAAAATTCACACGATCACAGCAAGTCGTTGAAGCAACCGCCGAACCACATCACCACTATTGGCATCAGATACGTCGTCAGCGCCCTGAATAACGACATCTTCGGCCTGCTGTCTTCTCCGCTATTCACGGAGATGGTCTGGTTATTGCTCGTGCCCGTACTGGTCGTACTAGTGCCTTGATGCGGTTCGATGTCCACTCGCGGCGGGATCTCAACCTCGTGAACGACCGGTGGCAATGGCTGCTTCGGTGGTTCTGGCTCTGCTTCCGCGTGTGGGCTCTCGTAGCCAGAGCCTTCCCTGAAGCCATCCTCGTCATCAGTAAACGCACCATCGCCCGAACCACTACCGGAACCGTACCACGTTTCGTCTGCAAGTAAAATCATAGAGGTAGTTATTATCGACAAAAGATTTAGTATTTAGAAAGAATTATTAGGTATGTGTTATTGATAATCGTCAGATAATCACCAGTATCGATCCAATCAACGTCCTGTCCATTAAACGCCAATTTCAACCTGTTCGTGATAGTGGTTAGCGCGAAAACTTGATCCCTCACGATAGTTGGTCTTGATACTGTACTGCGTACCTCTGGATTCAACGACTGAGACTCGCCATCAGATGACACCGGATATATATACCTAAAACAATACAAGCAGATATATCCCGTGTATCGATTTACTATGCGATATAACACAAAGATTAAGATAATGTTGTTATGCACTCAAAACGTATATATAGAAAATTGAATTAATAATTTATCTATACACTAAAAAATTTTTGGTCGAAAGTAGATGAATCAGAAAATTCTAATTATATATGAATCACAATTCTATTATTTTAACTAGAATTATAATAGATTCAATGAGACAATTTTGATTTGTTTATTTTTAACCACCAGGATTTTAATTAATACAACCAGACACTTTTTTCAGAGTGGCAAATGAATTTTTCATAGTTGAATGCCAACAAATAAAATTGATCAGGAATAAAATTTGATTCTCTCTCACTTGTCTACGTGTGTGCCGTTCCAACATTCTTTCGTATTACTGGGTGGCACAACCAGACCGTCGTTGCACATCCGATATGGCAAATAGACCCAGAATTGTCGGGAATCACGCACTCGTTGGCGTATTTCCTTCACTAGCTTCTCCAAGCTTGTAGCAGAGTCATCCTCTGGCGATGTCTCCTGGTCAAAGTTCAGGGACTCCATTTCTAGTTCTCGATTGTCCCTACGTTTACGTCTACCCAGTACCGGCCGGCCGCAACCAGTAAACACGCGCTGCGACACGTCTTGACTGCTTTCCTGGAAGTTCATGATCGCTTCGGAGATCTTTAGGTTAATCGGACGCACCAGTACTTCGATGTTGAACGGTCCGAGCAACCGATCGGCGATCTTGTCCACAGCCTCTGCATTTAAAAATCGAAAAGCAAATTAAAATTCGAGGTCATTCTTAGCGGAAAAAAAAAACTTTCGTACGAAATATAACTTATAAGAAATATTATTCTATTTTCTTTCATAACTTTCATAAGATATAATATAATATTAAATTAGAAAAATATTAAATACTAATATTAATATTGTTATTGTCTTTTTAAAATATTTTTTTAATAAAAGACTCGTTTTATTCGTGTCTACGAAAAGCGAGCGAAATGCAATTATTTCCGTAAAAAATCTCGCGTAACTTCCGAAGATTTTCAACAACAGATTGTGCGCGTCGATGTGTATTCTCTCAAAATATAGCCGATAGCCGATACTCCAGAGCGAGAGCGAGAGAAAGAGAGAGAGAGAGAGAGGGGAGGGGGAGAAATTGCTCACCAACGAACTGATTCCAGTCAGTGTCGAGTGCCGCGTATTGCGACAAGCAACCCTTCATCACGTTGGCACACATATCACCACACGCCAGCACGTTGTCCGATATACCGCTGCAGGCTGGACAAGCTGTCATCCTGGTCAAGGCAGCTGCGCAATCCGCCGATGGCTTGCTCAGCTACGGCCAACAAAGAGTTCGTTTTAGAGTCTGTGCGCGATTGCGGTTGCGGAATAATGGCGTAACAGCCATAAATATGTGAAGAAACTTAAAGAAATAGGATAGAACGAAGTGAGGAAGAATCCGTACGGAATAAAGTAAAAAAGTAGAAAACTCTGAAACTAAAGCGAAAAACAGATAAATTTTCTATAAGTATTTGTATTATATTCTAAATATTTTATAAATTACAATTTGATAATTTTAGCTTCTTCAAACAAATGTAAAATGAACAAAGGACATTTTTTGGTTTCATAATGTATCTAAAAATAGTAAAAATTAGGAAGCTATAAGTTTTTCTTAAATTAAAGCCTAAAACTTCAATTTTTATTACAACAAATATTTAGATCGATTAGACATCGCGAGATTTGAGTGCAGCAAGCATTAAATCAAGTTATATCAATTTGGATATTTCATGATATATTTTTTTACCAATTGCATATTTTTCAACACATTCGAAGCGACAGTCAAAGCTTGGCTGAATGCCCTCGTGGCCACGAACGATCGTTTAATTTGCACGCCCAATTTCTGTGGCACGTCCCCGAACGGTCGCATCTCCTTCATATGTTCGCCCACGCACTCCAGATATTTATTATCAAAGTTGTACTGGCTGTTGAGCACGGTGAACATCTTCTGATAAAGGGTGTTGAAGAAATTATCCATGGCATCGTTGAGGTCCACCTGAAACGTACGAGTAATATTTAATTACATTTAATTACTTAAATTCAATAACTACATTTAATTACATAAATTTATGAGACTAGTTTATAAAGTTGCAAGTGTTTAATTTATTAACATTAAAATATAATTTGTATATTGAAGAGGACTCCGTTTCTGAATGTTATTTCAATCAAATGAAATTAATATACATTTGAACAACTTGTATTGGCTCTTACAGGCATGGCTCTTTTATTCATTCAATTAGAATAATTACGTAGTAGTTCTTGATTATATAATTATATAGGAATATATCAGAATTGTATGAGATCAATTTGTATTGATCTCATACAATTATTAGTATTGTATGACACGCAGCACAGACAAATGTATACGTGTACTCTCAATGACACAATTAAAACAGTCTTTACATAAATACGCGAGTTTAATTTGACTACTTATCCAATTACCCGTTAATAAATTCTAAACATAATAAACTCTAATTAATTCTAATTGACTTTACCACGACATGTTGCAATAAATTGATGAAAAGTCTAAAGCTAGCTGCTTTCCTTTCGGAACTTTGATTTCGGAAGCGTTGAAAACGGTGCGATTTGTGTAATGCGACAGATTAATATTCGCGATAAAATTAGTTACAGCAGCGTTGCAACGATAATGCATTCACGCGACCGGGGCATTTCGCCTTCCGGCGTATGCGGAACAGGTTCCAAACGGCGCCGGTGAATAATTCGAGAGACGATTTGAATGACAATCGACAAAGCGTCTCGTCTCGTCTCGATCGCCGTCTTCCTTCTTCTCTTCAACCTTCGCCTCTCTTCCTTTTGACATCACGTGACGAATTGTACGACCGTGTATCTGTCACCTACGTCCTTTCCAGCCAGAAGCCATTCTCAACTCTGCAGCGCAAGTATTGAATGCGTGGAATCTCGAGAAGTCCATTTCGCTTCTTTTATCTTCCGCACGGGACTGCAGTCCGATAGTCCGGTTGCATTCTTAATATCCTTCCGTTTACATGTGTTTGACAGCCATCCGGAGTTTGAAGGAACGACGCAATACTCATTCTTAACTCTTCGGTATTATTCTGGGTATGACATCTGGATTTTTTCCAATGCTTTTCCAATGTCTTTCCAATATCTATAATTTTTTTTATTAATAAGGATATATGCATTTGTTTATATTACTCGTTATATTTCTTACGATTCGTGTCATACTATCATATAGATCCGCGGCGACTCAAGCTGGACTTCCTCCCATTTAAACTGTTTCATTATATGAAAATAATAATTTTAGCTGCATAAAAAATGTATAAGTTTAAATCTAAATTAAAATTCTAGTTGACGCGTAATCTAAATTTTGACTGATGTAATCAGAATCGTATGATTTGTCCATTTCCAAGCAAACTTCTTATACCCAATTTCTTCACTTTTAAATAAATTACGGATAACACTTTATCTAGAAGATAAGATCTCCATTGTATTCCGAGATCTCCTGGATAAAATTATTTAGAGGTAAAAAATTTGGGCATTAGTGTAGTAAAATTTTAAGTAATTTAAATGATTTAACCGGTGACCCACACTTGTCACTTATGGTCAAATCACTTAAAATTGGTATATAAAAAGAATTATTTTTACTGAGATATTTTAAAATTTAACTAAATACTAATCTGAAAATCTAATTTTATTAAATCATCAAAATAATTATATAGGAAATTTAAATATATGGAACATATAAATGTTTGATTTCTTAGTTGAAGAAAAAAGTTTACAATATATGTATTTATTTTTATAAAAGTTACATATATATATATATATATATAAACAATCGAATGAGTTGACCGTACCATGCCCAAGTAGTTCTATACCAATAGTGCGACATCGAAGAATTAATTCCACTTTTCAAATAATTCTATCCATTCTGTCTGCGCACCACAGGTATCAATTTCTTCGCATTTTCGCGCCTTACTCTCACAATCAGTTATATCGCTGCTTGATATTGCATCTCACTCCGTGGGAGGTGGATTGCACCTTTTCTTCACCTTCTTCAGATTGGGACTTTATTACATCTCATGCTCACTTCGAATTCTTCCCTCGTTCGTCTGCTTAATAATACGTTTCTTGATGCGAAACAGCATAACCGAGCGCGATCGTGTTTCCAAGTAAAATTAAATTCCATGGCATCCTGAAGCAGTCCAAAGTGGCCGCGCGCGATTAAAGAGGGGCGGCAGGTTCGGATAAATTCAATAGGTCGCGGTGTAATTGCAGAAGCCGTTCGATAGATAGGTAGATAGGTACACGAGGGACGCATATACGGGACCCTTCCGGCGACGGGATATTTTCGCTTTGGTGGTTGCGGGTCCCTTTACCCGGGACAATGTCGGCAATGTCAAAAGCACATTGATTAAATCCGCCTTCGCACGCGATTCCATCCTCTTCCGACTTTCAAGCTTCGGGAGTGCGGGCCGGACATCGTGGACAAAGGGTTGTTCCCGCTGTGGCTCCAATAGAAGTTTAAAAGCGTTAAAGGGCGGAGCTAAAAGTCAACTTACATCGTACGGTTATCCTCCGATCATTTGGAATGATGTTTCTCGAAGAATTCCGCAGGGGTCAATAAAAACGTGTTAATTTTCTTAGGCAGTTTTAAAAATAAACCCATAAAAATAGCAAAATGTTTCATTTTTAAAGCTCTTTTCTTCATAAAACTAATGTTGAGTAAATAATTTCAAACTCCTATGATTCTCAGATTAAAAAATTGATCATTAATCCTTCGAGAACAGGAGTTTTATAACAAAGAAATTTAAAGAAAACCTCGTTTCTAAGAGTTTTTATAGTCGCTTTGATTCAGTCCTCAGAATTCTAAAATTCCAATTTCAAAAGAATAATCTGGTTATTGTAAAATTTAGTTTTAGAGATTTTTTGGTATTGTTGAAATGGAATGTTTAAAAATGTCAAAATTCAAAACAATATATAATAATAATAACCTCTAACGAAGAAAGATCTAATGTCACAGAGTTCATAATCAGAGTTTACAAGTTAGTTTGGAAATCATTCCTAACTATTATTAATCACTACTATTTGCGCAGCACTAATGAACTTCAAACAAAACAAAATTAAAAACTTGATCTAAACCTCGCATTAAAAATTCCCTAAAATTAAGCTTTATGATAATCAAATAACTTTTTAGAATTTCTGTCCGCATATATTATAATAAAATTTATTATTTTGAATTTTATTTTTGACCTCAGATTCGAATAAAGAATTGTTAAACTATTCCACAGCTAAGTTTCGTAAAAATCAAACAGGTACTTTATAAAATAAAAGGTGACTTCAAATGAAGTCGTCCCCCCATCTATTATTCGAAGAATTAAGTGATATTATATTATCTGGATCTCTTTGCTATAAAAAAATACATTTTTTTTTTCCAAATAATCTTGGTAATAATTTCACGGCATCATTGACGCGACGTTACTGTAAGAAAAATTGAACGGAATGTGACGCGTGGCCGTCATGTCACGTCGTTATGTTTTACGGATCAATATTAAAAGGGACAGCTTGGGATATCCCAGTCGGGAAACGCGTGGAAGGGGATATAAATTTTTCCCTTTAAGAGAAGAATCCAAATACCATGACATTTATCGAATTACAGGAAGCTTTAATAGCAGCATCGCCATTACCACGTTGATCAATAATTTCGAACTAGAAAGACATTATTGCTTTTCGAGAGTACCTAGTTGCTTCAACCACTTACATGCTCGCTTATATTTTTGGAAGATATATCGCACATTTTACATCTTTTGGTCTATCTCGTATTTCCTTACGTATCTTGCTCGCTGATATTCCGAGAGGAAGGTGTCGTCGAGCGTAATTGCGCGGGAAACGGCTTGTAATAAACTTTAGATCCCGAGACACGGCTTGGCAGCTCCAGAAATTTTCTTCACCGTCTTATTTATTCGTGCTTAATATACTGGGCGAAGGGCGGGTCTGAGGGCGAGTGAAGAGGGACCGAGAGAAGACGGGAAAATTAACGCGCGATTGCAATTTTCACCGGAGGCACCTCGTGCGACATCAAACGAGAAGTAAATGAATAGCTCAGCGTTACGGGTGCCATAATTCCAAATTTTCCGGTAATACTCTATTTCAGAAATGTTCCCTTTCGTGAGAGGTTGAACAACGTAGACACTGTTCTAACATAAATTGATCAGGATCCGACCCTTATAGACGGAATTCTCGGCAAAGAGTGAAATAAATCGTAGTTGCGCTATTTTAACGTCGACATAATCAAATTCCAAGGGAGGATAAAGAGGGAGAGAGAAGATACTCACTGTTCCCTTCGCGTAGTAATTCTCCAGCTCCTTGAAAAAGTCCGTGAAGACGTACGAGTTCTGCTCGTAAAGGATACCGTAGGTCTTCTTGAACATCTCGTGAAAACCTTTTTTACTACCATCCAGTAGCTCCTTGAAAAAACCTGCAAATGATAAGAAACGCGAGTCATAATTCTGTTTGTATTGCGGCTTATACATAACAATAAGTTAATCTAGATCACTGTCTGTTATAAATCAAGTAAAGAAGGAACCAATATACAGTCGAGACTAGATCTTGGTGCCTGCACTGAAATAAATATTTGTTGAAATAGTTCTAATATGTTTGCTAAATATAATTATATTTATTTGATATAAAAACTCTCAATTTAATTTAACTATCATTTTTTTATTAAGTAAATATTTATTTACTGTAAGTAAATGTTTACTTAGTACTATTCAAGAAATGTGTATTAAGATTTAATAAATTTTTTTTCAACGTAATAATATTTTTACACTGTAAGTTTTATGCAGTTTTTTCAGTTACAAAAGATGTGCGCAGCTTTATATTGTTAAATTTGAAACGCGATTATAAAGTAAAGCTGAAATAATACCATGATTAAATTGTTCGTCGATTTGACAATGATGCTATATATTAGCATCTTAAACCACTAAAAGAACTTATTGCAAAAATATTATCTCAAGATTCGAACTTAGAATCCTCTGACTATCCGCGGTTATTGAATTTATAAAACTGATAATTCTTGATTACACTGTTATCAGCTTCTGCTTTTATATACTTTGTCACTTAAAATTGTTCATTGTATATCTATAATCAATAATATGATGTAACGCGAAAGAAACTCCGAGATATGGCTTATTGCGATGAATTTTCCGGCGCTTTGACGTTCCTTTCAGCGGAAAATCGCGGTCGAGCGCGAAACGGGAAATTAGTCGAGATTTCAAGGTGTGAGTCCGTCGTCGACAACGTGGAACAGGAAAGGATGGTTCGTATTGCGAATTAAAAGCCCAAAGAACTTGCGGCAAATACCCAACAGTTCTGGCTGCTTCTCCGATCGTCCCGTCTCTCACACTGAGGATTGGCGTCTGTGCTTTTTGCACCTCCGGTGGACTCACGACAGAAAAGGGAGCCGAGTTTGTCGCTAAAAGGAATTTTAATCACATTCCCCCGGCGGAAGTGACGATAAGGGGGTTCGTCGGTGAGCGAAAATCGGGGGTGGCGGCGAATCGGGGGTGAAAAAACGCTGCTTATCGTTGCATTGCAAACGCACCGCGTCGCATTGTGCTTTGTTCATCGAGAACTGCGACCGGAAATGAGTTAATGATAGTTTCCTTATATTTCAATATAATATCAATACGCTGACGAGGCATTCAAAGTAAGCGGAATTTTATTATTAATAGTTATTATACATTATTTAACAGTTTTATACTCTCGTTGCGGGAATAAACTTTTAGAATGACAGATCACACGCTAATATAATAAATACAGATAAAGGTAGTACCTAAATCAAACATAAATGTTGCATTATACTTTTCAACGTACAAGTTAAAACAATTATACAATTAATATCGAAAGCATTAAATCCCGACGTTGAATTTAAGATTAGAGTATCAACAAATACATGATTTACAAATGAGAATGTAACATCAAATTTGAAATTGTTTAAAATTTTCTGCAGAAATATTGATGTTTAATGGGAAACAAATGTTTTGTATTCGACGAAATTGAATTAAATATCGACAAATTAAAACAACCTACATTTTCTCCGGCAAACAGTTTGTACGTTAAAATTGAAGCTTCATATTAAAATATTCATAATTTTTAAGGGTCTTTTCAAATCAATACGTCCATTACGCGGGAATGATAACTTTGATCGATATCTTTGATCTTATACTCGCGAGACTGTGGTATCACAGCAATTAGCGCAGAAATTAGGGCATGTTCCAACTCGGGAAGCATCCTCGGGTATCTAACGATTCCGGTTAACGAAATTATTCGAAGGTAGCACCTTCTCGTCGGTCTTTCATCTTTTCCGCTGCACGTCGGCTTTTATGGCCAAAGCCCCTTTGAGATGCCACCGTCCAACTTTGGCACCTGGTACCCACTTTAGTCGGCACTTTGCTAGATAGAAGTTCGTACAACCTTTACTAGAAACAGGGTCTTCCATTATTTATACAAAATATATATCTACAAGATATATATATATATATAATATATGGTATATATCATAAATATAATACATCTATTTCTCCCTTACATAAAAAATGATGCAATTTAAAAAATTAAACTTCTCATAGAAAAGAGAAAAAATTATTCTATCTTATACAGAAAATTATGGACTGATCAAATAATATCAACGTCAATATTCCAATTTCCATAAATTATCTCATTGTACGTTGGTATATTTTTTTAACGAGTCATAGGATTTATAAACATTCTACGAATACTCCGCAGTATGCAAGAGTATAATTATTCCCATTTATCGATTCTTTACAAATGACAGCGAAAGTCTCGCGAGAGCTTTCTGTTTTTCTTGCTACAGCTTTTTTTAATTTTTGCATTTTTCACTCAGCCATGTAATCTAATATGTATTCAGGTTTCAGTAATGTTACGGTTTTTTCACGACTGATATAAACCTGCTAATTATGACTAAGTTATTATAATATACTTTGCAGTCGAATACTTTACAGCGATCTCATATTTTCCATTTTCATCCAAAGATTTCTTGAGTCTTATCCTTTATAAAATGAGACATTGCTAAGCTTGTCCGCTAAAAAAATGCGCTTCTAAAATAACGAGCAAAGAAATATCATTATGCAAGATTATTTAAATGTACAAAGGACCGCGCGTTCTATTATACGCGATAATGTCCCCCGGAGAAGTTCCTGTTCGAAGTAGTTGCTCTTCGAGGCACGCAGCTGGCGTTCACGGTAACGGATAGTGTTCGAAACGGTTTCAAGAGAGCCCGAATAATTATCGTCTTCAACACAGGCATTCTGGGGGCATTCGCGTATTGTGCGAATTGTTCACGCTACCTACGCTAATTACGATGGCGTACTCGCATTCAACATTCAACTATTAATTGCACCGGAGCAGACGGTGCTCTAGATGCAATCGCATTTGTTTGTGGCACACAAAGATAGATGTCTCCGGACTTACAGATGTTTGACGGATATTGACGATGCGATTAAAGGTATAACGGGGACGCGAACCAGCGCAAGAAAAAAGACATAATTCATTACTTATGCAAAAAGTGTGTTGTAATTTAATCGATAGAATGCTAAACGGAAAGAATGGTTTTGCTCAAGTGTCTAAAAATTAAGCAGATCTAAAAATAATTTGTTTATTTAGATCATCAAAATAATTATATACAACGATCAAGTTGATTACTAGAATGTTAAAATTTTTTTACATAATTAGTTGGACGGTCCAACAAAATTATTTTCAGATTTCTAACCAGCTATTTTTCAACTTAATTACACACAACCGTTTTTTCCATTTAACTTTAAGCAAGAAAAGAATACAAATTCTATGCAGCGTTATATAAATAACGTTCATACTAACAAAAATAAAGTATAAAAGTAAATGAAGAAAATGGATAAATGACGACCTTGTTGCGCGATATGAATATGCATTATATTATATTTATTTGTATACTATTTCGTTATTAGGTTGTCTGTAGTCGCAAACGTCGTGCAAACTCGGACAAATCAAATTTCAGGCGAATCCCGACCCCGGGATTCGGATATCTAAAAGGTGCATGCAAATGCGAATATGCGGAAACACTTTGGGGAAGGTAGATATACCATCAGAAGCATACGAATACAGAGAAAACGGCGGATATCCTGATGATCCCCCGCGTAATTTACGTGAGCGAAGGTGTGACAGATTCTCCCTATAAATCGCCGAATAACAAATCAATAAGAACATTTTTATTTGCACCGCGGCCGTAGTTTCATTCTTGCCAAACGGATTCGGTGAAATATACGAGATATTCCTCGTCGCTCTTTTTTCCCTGTTAGCCGCATATTTCCTTGTAACTAATATCTTTGCAACAAAAATATCATTTCCTATTTTCCAACAAAATTGCTCTCGCAATTTCCATCTATAAATTTCGGTCAAGAAAATTCCGTTCTACGATTAATATAAAATGATACTTAAAAATACAGGATTATGCTAAATAATTGTCGGAATATCATGAATTTTTTTTGTAGATAGTGCATTTAGCATAAATTATAGCCATACTGGTGTATGTGTGTGCATACCAAAAAACTCCATAAAGTTATGTTTTAAACCTCTCGCCATTCAGTAGCTTGAACTTTGTGTCCACGATGCTAGAAACTGCTGAGATCTTATAGATAAAAAAGAATTAATAAATCGCATTTGAACAATTCAACCAACGCAATTGGACAATTCTTTTCTTGTGTACGATCTCGAGACAATTTCACACAGTAAAAAATATTTAGTATTTGTTATAAACGATTATCCCCTCAAGTCCTTGTTAAAATTTTATGTTGAATATTTAATTATCCTTAATATATGTATATATCCAAATATTAATTTTATTTAATACGATTGTGTTATTTGAATATTTCCTGTTAAATTGATATTCAACATTTCTTAATGTTAAAATAACACAATTTATAAGTAAACACAAATTACATAAAAAATTTTTTTTTAAACGCAAATTCTAAAACAAATAAAACTCAAAAAATAACCATGGTAATTTTTATAAGAAAAAAAATATCACTTTTCTTTTATTTAACGCCTCGTAAAATCTCTTGAATCTCTCTCTAAAAAAAAAAAAGGAAGACTTTATGTCATTTTGTAAGTACCACATTATTATTTTCTTCTTCCGTATATGTTGGTGCAATCGAGTCGATACACTCTACAATGGTTCGCATGCAGATGCCTCCTCGAGCGCGCACACAAGACAGTATCAGCATCAAGAGTATACGCGTCCCTCTCATATAACTCTTGTAAAACTCTCGTCGATGCAGCCCGCGGTTCCGCTTTAATTAGAAAAAAACCTCGCAAGTCGAGCTCGCTCTCGGCTTGGAGGAGCGCAGCCGCAGCGAGAGGTCGTCAACATCCACTTTCGCGCTGAGCCGTAGCTGCCGTTATCCCTGAAATCTCGTTTCATCCCCGCTCTTCTCATCCCTACGCCTACTCCGGAGGCCCACGCTTAAGACGGACAAATATGTGAGTTCGATCGAGCATTGTGTTTCGAGCACATCCGTTAAAAAGTTGGCCCGGAGCATCGACGAGATGTTCACCGAGGGTGATCTTCCGAGTGACGTCCGGCCGATTAAACTGCGAGGGTGGCAAGTGAACGGCGAATATAAAAACGCACTTAACCGCGAAAAGAGAGAGAAAAGAAGAGAGAGAGAGAGAGAGAGAGAGATTTTACTTTGTTTTGACTTGTGTAAAATTTGTTTTAGTTACTACTTCTTAATTCTTCGCATTTCTGTATAAATTTACATTTTATATATACAATACGAAGCGCTTGTTCTTTTTAGCAGAAGTTTCTCCAGTGATCTCTGAATACCTTTCCCTGCATACCCAATCCTATTTTGCAATCTTATGTTGTTCTTGCGAAAGAAACATTACAATCTTTCAAAAAACTTCGAACGTGCAAAACGAAGAGTAGTCTTGTCCGTTTCGCTTCTTCGACTGCTGGAAACTCGAGTATCTTACTATGAAATATTGGTTTTACTTCTGAATCTAGAATATACGAGTACAGCGCGTTACTTTCGAATAAGTGGATTAAGAGGATTTGAATAAGGCGATTAAAAAGTTTCGCCGATGTAAAGCGAACAAAATGCTGGGTGAGCATGAAAAGTAAAGGTATACATTGAGATTTGTATCGGGGACACAAGAGACTTGTTAATCGCAAACATTGAATATGAAATTTAATACTTCTTACTTTATTCTAAAAGATTTGTATCGAAGACAATAAGGCTAATATCCAAAATATAAACTTCTGTAAAGCTGTGCAGAGTAAAACACACTTTTTAAAATTTGAAAAAAATTAAACGGAATTCTCTCTGGTTGGTCCTCCTCTTTTGAAAAGTTAGAACAAATCGATTTCTTGATAAATGGTTAAAGCAATGGAATCGGGTCCTTAAAATTTCTTCGACACTGATGATAAGTAACAAAGGAAATCTTTGTTCTCTCTCGCTGCCCTTCGTTCATTCATTCAACTCCTCGATCCAGGCAGAAAAAGAGATAAAGAAAGTCGGCACATCTCGTGATATTCCTATCGGGCATCGCCACGCACAGAGGTTTCCCTTATCGAAGAAATCGGAAAGCGCTACTCACTGTGGAACCTGTTTCCCCGCGTATGCAGGACCTGCTGCATTCTGTGGAGAGCTTCTTTGGTGGCCATTTCGTGTTTGTCGCGTGCCCGCGCTTGTAATCTCACTTCCATGTCAGCTGAACAGCACACTTCGCCGCCGCTTCTCACGCTGCCGCATGCTTTAAGTTCCTTCGCTATATAAACAAAAGAAAAAAATTATACATTAATAAAAATTATCCTAACGAGGGAATCGGCACGTTCGACAAGATTTAGAAATTCTGAGGCAAGGACAATGATATATACATCTTTCTCCTTCTTCTCAAAATCTTGTCGACTTGGCAGGATACTATACTAATGTATCTTTTATAGCAGAGGTTGGTAAACTACGATCCGCGTAATTGTTATTATATTCTTATTCTCGTTAATAAAAATTTTGTAAAAATATTTTCGCTTTTATTATAAATACCTAATATCCTTAATTTTGCTTTTTGGTCTGTAAAATTTAGATGGATAATAATTAATCTTTACTAAAAAAAAGTTGGCTAGTTTTATAGATACGGAAGGACAATCAAAGATCTATGAGTATCATTAAATATTTATGAGTTTCAAAATACTATAAAATCACAATTATATAATAAAAGAGTGATTTATTGATATTAATTTAATTTTTTAATAAAGTTAATAAGAATACATTGTTTAACTGAACACGATAAAAAAGAAATTTTCGTAGAACATAAGTCTCGTTTCTCACTCCTCAATCGGTTTCTCCGTCAATACGAAAACTAGAAACGAAAGGGAAGACAACAGTGGACGAAATGTTTTCAGGCTAAATACCGCGACTCAAGTGTGTTTGAGGAGGAAAGGTCTTGGTATGAGAAACTCGTCGAGACTTTCGGTAAATGCAATTTAGTTTTAAGAATCTGAGGATATCTACGTCTTCGTAAGTACACAGAATGTCCGGAGGAGAACGGACTTGAGGATGGATGGGAACATTGTTTTCTCTCCCGTGAGAGGAAACGCACTTCTGCACATATTCGTATCAACGGGTGTCAAGTCAAAGTCGTAAATTAAGTAACCGAAATTATTGTTTCTGTTGGAAGAAGCTCTAATTTGTCGCTACTGTTAACTCAAAATATAATCATTTCAATTCGCTTCGGAAACAGCATTAATAGACTTTTATTAAATAGTTTTAAGAATAACGCGTTATATATAATACATATACTTGTACCGCCGTTATTATTATTTTTTTTTCAATAATGATCATCTTTTTTCTGTTTGTAACGGTAACTCCATTCCATTTTTTTTTTTTTTTCAAATAACGGTAACGAATTCAGCTTTTATTTTTATAATTACTTTAATTTTCTACTATATATATATAATGTGAGTTATTGTGTGCGTATATTATATATATATATATATATAACTTTTGTACTTAATAACGATATTCATGTTTTAAAATAAAAAAAAAATATATATATAAATTATAGAAAATATTTATTGGTTAAATTTAATATAAAGAAAACCTTGTTATATATAAAGACTATCTGAAAATTCTAAATTTTAATAGATTGTTATAACAAATATTGATAATTAAATAATACAATCTTTGAATCTAAAAAAAATATCTTACTTTAAAACATTTTTAAAAAGTAACAAATCGTTACTGTTTAAGTAAGGGATTACTTTTTAAAATTAGTAACGAGTGACAGTAACAAGTTATTTTTTACAAATAGCAATGCGATATTTTTATAAAGTACCGTTTCAATCCTAGTTCTTTATTCTTAAATTTTTAATTTAATTAACAAAAATGTCCAAATTAGATTTTAATAGTAATATTTTAGCGTGAATTGTATCCACTTCTGTAAACTGCACACTGATTTAATTTTCGGTCTAAAAACGCGATCTTAAATTAAAACTGAAATAGTAACATAACAAATAAAACAGGCAATTTAATAATATAATTTAATACTGATAATAATAAATATCTTAAATTAAACAATAAAAAATTTATTGTAAAAAAATTTTCATTTTTAATAATCCTCTTATTTTTCAAGAATTGCTATTATTACACTCTCAATCTTCTAATAACAATCTGAACAGTCTAATTATCTGCAATTTAGATAATCGTGAGGCAACAGATACCGCAAAAATCCGGGATGCCAACATGTAGTCAGTTTATCGTACAGACAATGCGAGATAAATCACTGTGTTTATTACCGAGGTAAAGCAACGGGAAAGGCGTTAATCGAGCGTGTCGGAACATTTTAAAATTCATCGTAGATTCAACGGATGGGGTGAAAATCGCTCTTACAGGCGCGATAGAAATCGTTCGGAGATAAGTGCCATTGTTAAGCACAAAACAGGAAATATTCAGCGGGATTTTCCCCATCTCCCTCATCCTCGACCGGATTCTCCTTCGACTGTGTTTCGGGAGTAACGCACGCATTTTTGGGGATGAAACGATCCGTCCAATGAAAGGGAGGGCGTCCTCGCTTCCTCGAGGGCACTCGGAAATGCGGAGGGTAAATTCAGAGGTGTCGCTCTCGCGGTCGCGTTCAAAACGTACATCTCCGTACGCGCCGCAGAATTACGGCTCGTAATCTTTTACAACGCCTCGCAGAGTAATTACCGTATTCACGTTGTCGCTTTAATCCTCTTAGGCCGAAGGGCGGCCGCCACTCACGACAAAAAATTCGAAATTGTGTGTGCACGCAATGAAATTAGAATCTTATTATTTTTTAAATTTAATATTATTATAATTAATTTTTAAACACTATAATCTTCCAGCACGATTATCAGAATGACGAAAAGAATTTTATTATTTTTTAAATTGGATATTTAATATTATTATAATTTATTTTTATAATTCTCCTAATACAATTATCAGAACGATGAGAGTTCGCTCACGATAAAAAAATATCTGCGTGAAAAGGAAGTTTCGTTTTAAAGACTGTAATAGAAACTGATTACAAGTAATTCTATCAAAATAAGAATGAGAAAGAAAAATATATTGTTTTTTTTATACATGCTATCTTATTCTGACTTATATACTATATTATCTCATTTACAATTAGTCTAACTTACTAAAGTTGACAAAAACAAATCTAATCTAATGTTTACAAAACATTATTCAAATTCGATTATTATAGATAAAGCTAATCAATTGTTTGTTAGCACATAACTAGATTCTGTATTATATATAGAACCTTTAGTTTTACTAAAATATCTAAAAATTTAACTAGATGCAGATCTGAAAATAATAATTTTGTCCGACCATTAAAATGAAGTAGGATACTCAAGCTGATTGCTAGAATGTCAAAACTTTTTGTAGTATTGTTTATTACCATATTTGAGATTTCTACAATTATTTTGATGATCCAAAATAAATTTTTTAGAACTGTATCTAGATAAATTTTTTTAGATACTTCTGCAAAATCGTTCTTTCCGTACGCAATTTCAAGCTTGCGTTTGCCGATGCAATTTTAAACAAACGAGCGCGAACAAGTACAAATGAGCGACTTGTGCTCCAATGCCAACGATACTCGCAACACTGTTTGCTCTCACTGAAACAAGCTGTTCATTCGTATTATATTTGTTCTCATTTACTCGGTCTGGATTCCTACCTTACGGAATAACTGAGTAGCGCCTGGCAGCGTTTCACTAGATCGCGAAGTTGTTCAAACGATCGACCGTCTCGCGACATCGTCGTCGCGGCGAGCGCACTGCTGATCGGATCGCTGGAATCGCGTTTTGAGACGTGCGTAATTGAGTTAAATTCCCTGATGAGATCGGAGATCCGGAACGACGTTTGCACACACGCGGCACACAGATTCGTCATCGTGCGCAATTTTCCCATGGGTGTCGCGAATAAACCGATAAGGCACGACGGCAACTGAAGCTTAACTTTGTCGGAGTCTCTTCCCGCGAGATTGCTTTTCCTGCGTTAAGTCCCTTCTATTATGGAATGGAACAAAACGAGTGTATGTTTTTATGCGTGTATACGTACGAGAACATCGAAGTGTAGACGGCAATGTTTGTCTTAATTTTCTATTAATCGAAGTGTCAAATTAATAACACTAAATTACAATATTTTTAATCGCGTAAAAAACATGGTGGATTATCTTAAATATCTAATTTGTCTGTAATAAAATTATTACAGACAAATTAGGTATTTGATAACGAAGCTAATTTTAGAACTAAATAGTTCATTTTATTTAATTAATTGATAACTGCTTATTAATTGATAAGAAAGTTTATTTAGTAAAATATAGGGTTGTTACTTGTACTTTTGTACTTAGAATTTTACACAAATTTTTAACAAATCCCGCTATGTATAAATTATAACTAAAATTTATATTAACGATAAGCGAACCTTATAATGACAGACGTAAATTACATTTCTATAAAGCTCTTTTTAAAGTATTTGCTCCTTAAATTGAAGGCTTTAAATTAATTATTAAACAACGTCAATCAAGGAACAATTATCCAGGACATCTTTCAAATAAAATTTCACCCTCAGAGATTTCTACCCCGGACAACAGAAATACTGCAGCGATATGAGGCAACTGTGCGTCCCGATCGGGTGGCTCCGTTGCTGGACCAAAATTGGATTACTTTTCTCGTTAACTCTTCGCATCGGTGGAGGGGCGGCAAGTTGGATAGAAGTGACGAGGAACGGCGGGCATGGGCGATAGAGAAAAGAACGACAAAGGCAATCCCGTGGAAATGAATCGGGATTACTTTTACGACGTGTCTCAAAGTTCTCAATGAGCGTGGCAGCGAATGGGGAAGGTTTTTGTCGGGAACGCGTTAGCGGAAGGGTTGGGTACAAAATTAGCTTAGACTTTGCGGAATTGGCGAGTAGCTATAAGGGCTGATAAAGACGATCGAGGGTGACGGCCGCGGAGTTTCGGCGAAATCGTCCGGATCGATAGACGTGGTTTATGCAGAGCAATACCAAAAAGACATTTAGGAGGGAGCAATTTGATTATCTCTTTTTCATGTCTCTATCCGTAGCGCAAAGCTACACGCGCGATTCTACCGGGTAAGAAAATCGGAACTTATCGAGAATTTCGGTGCTTCGATAAATAATACAAGACTTTCATACTTGATTTTTCGCCCGCAATCAAGCTGATTTTTCGATTTTCATTTTTTGACGAAAAATCGACATGTTATATGCTTCTCCT